CCCGAAAGGTGACGTGATAACGCCGGGGGGGTAGTCTATTCTGTTTTAGAAAGGAGAATTCACCCTGCCGAACTTGAAGTTGTCGACTCCACTGCTAGCGCTATCGTCCCCACCCACCCACCCGCAACTTGGTTTGCAAAACCCATGCGCTGGCGATTGCGCTGGCTGGAGTGTTTGGTGTTGGCCTGTGCATCTCTGCGGCCGCGCTAGCCCGCGCATGCTCGCGCGCGCAACGGCCTCCTTCTCCTCCTCCTCCTCCTCCTGCTCCCTCCTCCTCCCCCTCCTCCTCCTCCTCCTCCTCCTCCTCCTTCTCTTCATCATCCACCTATTCCTCATCGTCCCTCCGCAGTCCTCCCCCCCTTCCTCTGCTCCTGCGCCTGCGCCTGCTCCTGCTCCTGCTCCTCCTCCTTCTCCTCCTCCTCCTCCTCCTCCTCCTCCTCATCATCCCCATCCTCATCCTCTTCCATCCTCCCCCTACGACGGCTTCCCAAACCCACGTTTAAGGCCACTCGCCCCTTGGCAACTCGCCGTGTCGCTCGTCGCCGTGTCGTGTCTTCGTCTGGCCCCGTCTGCGCCGGACAAAAAAAGCCCCAGCTGCTGGAGGCAAGGCGCCTTCCCCCCCTCGCCGACATCGACCTCATGGCGTGGCGGGGCAAGCCTGGCCGGGCGCTCCCTCTCCGGGGCGCGTGGGCCTGGCTGGCTCGCGGCCGAACCGGCTGGGGCCCGGAGAGCACGGGATCCTCTCACGCACGTCGAAGACGGACGGCCTGCTCGGGCGGGTGGCAGTGGGGAGTGACCTCCACAGGGTGACCTGCGTCCGCTCGCTGCTCGTCTTGCTTCTAAGACGAAACCAGGACGAGGATAAAATCGGATGAGGATACATCGAGAATCTCGGAGATCTGGCGGCTCTGGAGGATGTCTCGGGCGCCGCGGCCTTCTCAGAGCGTTCCGGAAAGCTCTGAGAGCGTTCCGGAACGCTCTGGAACGGATTTGTCCTCGTCCTGGCCCCGTCCGACGATGGACCCGAACGGGGCCTTTCGGGGACCCCTTGGGCCCCTGCAAGCTACAGAGGCCCCTTTCTCCACCCCCCATGTAGGTCACCCCCCATTACCACCCGCCCGACCTGCGGGAGATGCTCTGGCCAAGACTCGGCAGATCACCCTTGCGGTCCTCATCTCGTCGGCACCGATCGCCGCTGAGAGGTTTGTGCCCAAGCAAGGTGCAGGTGGGCCGCTCAGCCTCACCGGCCATCTCACTGGTCCCGTGGAGCCCAAGGCAGTCCTTGGACAGCATCGAGGACTCCTCGGAGAGGACGGAGGTGGACTCGGTGTCGCTCGACAGGTTGCCAACTGCCCCGCCGCTGGCCAGCTCCACTCCCGGCAACAACTCGGGCGCCGCGAAGGCACCAGCCACGAGCCGGCGTGACGTGGGGCTGCCCATGCGAGGCTCGGGGATCCACATGTCCAGCCTCCTTTGGGCGTCGCGTAATGGGAAGGCGATGATAGGGGGGGAAGAAAGGCGGGCTCTGAAAGCCCCCCCTCTGGGGCCCGAAAGGGCCTCCTATAGGGCCCTGCAGAAAACTTCTTCCTTCAAAGGCCCCTTTTCTGCAGCCCTCGCTGCCCCCCAATTTACCGCCACCCATGGCGCGGCGGCCAACTCTTGGAGGCCTGGAAATTGGCACCAACACCAGCACAGGGGGTTGCCTCCACATGGGGAAGATGATCCTAGATTTCGGTGTTGGTGGTAATACTTCGGTCACCTTTCAAGCCAAAGCATTACCACCATCACCGAGATCGGGATCGTCTTCCCTCGGTGGAGGCACACCACCGATCTTGCTGTTGGTGTCAACCTCTAGGCCTGCGAAACTCCTCATATAGGGAAGGTCTTCGAGAGTCGCAGGTGCCGAACTCGGAGGAGGCTGGAGCGCACGGGGTCTGCGGATCTGCTCGGGGCCGAGGCCGCCAGGGCCAGGGCCCGACACGGCCCCGCCGCGGCCCACTCCGAAGGGGCGCCCGCGGGTCAGCCCGAGAGTCGAGGGCTGCCTCGGTGCGGGCGCCACGCCGGATGCCTCCGCCCATGCCAACGCTGGCCTCGGTCGCTGCTCGCTGACAAGAGGGAGACCGTTGCCCGCAAAACTCGGCATCCCTGCGGTGCCTGGAGTGGCCATGCTGCAGTGTTGCGCAGGGTGCTTCGCTCCAACTGGTCGCCGCTGGGCTGCCTCCGAATCGCAAAACAAATCGTGGCCCAAATGCCAAATGCTGAGCCAAAAACGGCTTGAGCCAAGTTTAGATACGGAATGCAATCTTTTGAGCGGTGTTGGGAGGACGCCGGGGCCCCTGGAGATCTCCGAAGTGTCATGGTGGACTACTGGTACATCTTTGAGACCTCGTGGAGTGCGTTGTGGCTCCTCTGACTATGGAGAGACGTGAGGGGGCACAGGCTCACGGGGGGAAACCTCGATTTGGAATTGGCGATACATCGTTCCTCCTCCTCCTCCTCCGCCTCCTCCTCCTCCTCCTCTGCCTCCTCCTCCTCCTCCTCCTCCGCCTCCTCCTCCTCCGCCTACTTCTCCTCCTCCTCCTCCTCCTCCTCCTCCTCCTCCTTCTCGCCGACAGATCAGCGACCAGCCCCTGGTAGCGACACTGGACGGTCCCGAGCGGGGCGGGCCCTCGGGCCCTTGTCGGCGATCCATTGGGCGATCGGGGGTCGATGCATCCCCCCCCTGGGCGTGTCCCCCCGACTGATGTCCCTGAAGGAGGAGGAGGAGGAGGAGGAGGAGGAGGAGGAGGAGAAGGAGGATGCGGGACTTTTGGTCCGGCCACGCCTCAGCTACAGGAGACTTATTTCTCGCCCGCCCACGCAGCTTCGCCTCGCCCGCACGCGCGGCACGCACGAACACGAAACCGAAACCGATTTCCTGGTAGGGGGGCTCTCCGTTCCACTTCGATCTCACCCCCTCACCTCCGACATATATATATATATATATATATATATATATATAGATATCGGAGGTTGGGGGGTGGGTCCGACGTGAAACGGAGACATCCCCCCTACCAGGAAATCGATTTCGGTTTGGGGGTTCGTGTCGTGCGTGCCGTGCGCGCGTGCGGGCGAGGCGAAGCTGCGTGGGCGGGCGAAAGGAAATCCTCCTGTGGCTGGGCCGCGGCCGGGCCAAATGTAACTCCTCCGGCGGCCGGTGCCCCGCGGTGTCCCGCCGGTGTCCCGCGGGTGTCCCGAAATCCTCCTGTGGCTGGGCCGCGGCCAGACCAAACGCGACTCCTCCGGCGGCCGGTGCCCCACGGTGTCCCGCCGGTGTCCCGTGGTGTCTTGTGGTGGCCCGTGGTGGCCCGTTCAGTGAGATCGATAGTGAGATCGATAGTGAGATCGATTTGGTGCCCCGAGGTGTCCCGTGGTGTCCCGTGGTGTCCCGTTCAGTGAGATCGATAGTGAGATCAATAATGAGATCGACAGGTGTCCCGTGGTGCCCCGTGGTGTCCCGTTGAGTGAGATCAATAGTGAGATCGACAGTGAGACCGATAGTGAGATCGAGAGGTGTCCCGAGGTGTCCCGTGGTGTCCCGTCGTGGCCTGTGGTGTCTCGTGGTGTCCCGTTGAGCGAGATCGATCGTGAGATCGATAGTGAGATCGGCAAGTGTCGATTTGGTGCCCCGAGGTGTCCCGTGGTGTCCCGTTGAGAGAGATCGATAGTGAGATCGACAGGTGTCCCGTGGTGTCCCGTTGAGTGAGATCGATAGTGAGACCGATAGTGAGATCGAGAGGTGTCCCGCGGTGTCTCGTGGTGTCCCGTGGTGGCCCGTGGTGTCCCGTTGAGTGAGATCGATAGTGAGATCGATGGTGAGATCGACACGAGTCCCGTGGTGTCCCATGGTGTCCCGTGGTGTCCCGTGGTGCCCCGTTGAGTGAAATCGATAGGGAGATCGATTGAGTCAGATGTTGGTTCCCCCCCTCCCCCCCCAGATGGTGGTCGTAAAGGTACACACACACACGTGTCCCTCAGCCCCCCCTTACTCACACACACACAATCTCTCTCTGTTCATAAATATATATACACATATATACTAGATACACGCGCGCGTCGCGCTCATGTTCCAGTTAGGCGTATGCACAAGTTTCGTTGTGATACCAAGGGGGTCAAGGGGGTGGGAGAAAGTTGCAGTAGATGTCAATGATCCCCATCTACCGAGGGTCAACTGGGGATTGATTGAGGGCGGGACGTCGTGTTCTCCAACTCCCTGCCCCTCGTCGCGATCGGCCTTCTCGATGAGAAGCAGCAACAGCAACAGCAGAACGATCAGGGTCGCCAAGGGGAGAAGCAGGAGCAGCAGAAAAAGGTTTCGCAGGGATCCACCAACACAGATCCTGACAAGGCCAACCGGGTCATCTGAGGTTGGTCTGGGAGGCTTCGTGGACCGTCCGAGGCTGTCGTACGCCCGATCCCCCAGCGTGGCTGAGTTGTGGGTCGGAGCTCTCTTAGATGCCTACAAGGGTCCCTGGGGAAGGCTCAAGGGAGCCTCTTGGTGGTAGTTTTGAACATATCTGGGGCCTTTGGGGAGCCGTTTAGGGGCTCTTTGGGCCTGTTGGGGCCTCTTAGGGCCTGCTCGCGGTCTCAGGGGATCTCGTGGGCCGTCTTGAAGGCCACGAAACGTGTGAGGGGTGTGCCGACATGGGTGTCGGTGACGCATGCGGGCGGTGGCACTGTGGCCTTCGGTGGAGCTCCTTATGCGGCCACGAAACGTTTGAGGGGTGTGCCAGAGTGAGGGGTGCTGGCCCGAATCTTGATGACGACCTCGTTCGCCTCGCCCCACGCGCGAGTCGGCTCGCCGCTCGCCTTCGGGGTGACGTCAGCTCCCCGAAGACCCTTGTTGCCCATGTAGCCGTTCTGATCGTTCGAGACGTACTCGCTGGTCCTCAAGAGGAAAAAGTAGCCCGTGGCCACTGCGGCCCACAAAGCTGCACCTTCCCTCGACCTCTTTGGCTGCAGCTTCCGCCTAATCCACCTCATCATGCGGGGAGTGACCGGCTTCTTGCGCTTGGTGCCGCCATCCCTCCTTCTGAGCCCGTCGATCGCCATCCAGAGCCTGCCAGCGTCTTCCGCGATGTCGCCCATGCCGAGCGCGAGGTGCTGGGCTCGGACCGAGCTCAGGCACTGCTTGATGGTGCCCGCCTTCTTGCAGCCTCGGCGCGCCAGGTGGATGACGAATTCCAGCAACAGCTCCTCTTCATTCCTCCTACTCTCTGGCGTGATCTCGCGAAGGGGGCTGATTCCCCTCGTGCGGCAGAAGAGAGTCCACCACCTCCAGCCAATGCTGTACGACTTGATCGTGGAGCTGGCCAGCTTGTCGAGAATGAGCTCGAGTTTGGCTTTCTCCCAGTCCTCGCGCGTCTTGAGGCCCGTCAGAGTGAGGTCCTCCGGGCGGGCGCTCGCTCGAACAACTTCCGGTCCGAGGAGGTTGGGCGGCTTGTTCTCGCGCGGGCCGCGGACCCTTTTGCTGCCTTTCTTGCTCTTATGCGAGGTGGCCCCCGCTGTGCGGTCGTGCTCCTCGCCTGCACCCATGGCTGCCATGGCCCAGTCGAGCCACCCTCCTCTCTGCTCGGGGTAGCTCCACCTCCTCACCAGCGCCTCGAGCTCCTCCTCAGCCTGCGCCTGCTCGAGGCACCCGCTCCTGCGGTCGTCTCCTCCACTGCTGCCCCGCCTGCGGTCCCCGCCTCGGTCGCGACGGCGGCCCGAGCCCTGCGTGGCCCCCCGTGCCATAGCTTCGAGGCGGGTGCGCACTCCCTTCTCACCAGGGCCCGCGCTGCTAGAGCTCCGCCTGTCCGCTAGGTAGCGCGCGACCGCCCGCGGGTCGATCTCGACGTCCTCACCGGGCAGCGGCGCGTAGGCCGGGCGCTCCTCCGCCTCAACCTGCCGCGACGTGCGGAGCGACGGGGAGCTCGGCGCCGATGGCCCAGGCGATAGGGAACGCTCAGACCCGGGCGGTCCTCGGCTGAGGCCCTCCCTGGGCGTCCCCATCCTCTGCCTTGCCTCGTTCCTCCTGGCCATCTCCGCCGCGTCGTCCTCGTCGCGCTTGATCTGGATGGCCCTGGCCCTCAGCGCCGCCATCCTGGCCTCGCTGCTCGCGCCAGCATCGGCCTCCATCGACTCTGCCTGTAGCTCCGAGTCGACAGAGCTCGCAGCCTCATCATCGCCTCCCTCGTCCTCAGGGGTGGCACTGCGCCGGGGCGGGCTGCGGGAGACCGTTCTCTCCCTTGGTGGCGGCATCGGCAAGGGCTCCCTGACGCGGGCACGCGACGCGCCCGTGCCCCGCGTTGGCCGAGGGGGCACTGAGCGAGCCCTCCTTGCCGGGCTCGCTGGGCATCTCCTCTCCTCCGACGACCTAGACCGCCCCTGGCCCTCGGGCGCGGCGGTTCCGCCGCCCCCTTCCTCAAGCACCTGCGGCCGCAGCTCCTGAGTCCGCGCAAGGGCGTGCGCTGCATGGTCCAAGAGGCGGCGGTGCTCCTGGTTCGCCGCACTCTTCCCGATGGTGCGCCGGCCCTCCACGCGGTCAGCCAGCTCCTTGTACCTGCGCCCTGCCGCCTCGGGGTCAGCTCCTCGGCCGCCACCGCCGCTCGCCTCCTGCCCCGACGACGAAGCTGCAGCCGTCTTCGAACCCTCATCCTCAGACTCCACTTCCTCTTTCACTTCAGTTGGCAGCATCCTCGCAGCGAGCTTGATGCGTGGCTCGTTCTTGCGGGCCTCTGCCTCTGCGTCCCTCTTCCTCCTCCTGAGCTCACGTGGCGAGGGAGGTGGGCACTCAGGTGACGGCCCCTCCTTTTCGACATCACAGCGGAGCGCTGCCAGGACCCTGGCACGGCCCAAGGCCCCTCCTCGGGCCGGGGGGCCGTCCGGCGGCTCGGCGGGCTCGGATTTCTCATTTTTATGTTTGTTATTATTATTCTTCTTGCGGCTCCCACCGCCTCCTCCACCTCCGTCTCCTGGCTGCTGCTCCTCTTCGCGGCCATGAGGCGCCTTCTCGCAGTACTTGTAGTGCTTGACGCCTCCCTCGGCCCAATCCTGCTCACGGTGGCGGCCGCCGCGCATGTCGCAGCAGTAGCCCGGCCTCCACAGCCTCGCAGGGGCGCTGTGCTCCAGGTAGGGGCACCCCGGGTTGAGGCAGGGGGCTAGATTCCTGACCGGCTTCTCTTCCTGGGCGGGAGCCTGGGCGGGCCCCATGCACTCCTGCTGCGCCGGCCGCGCTGGCGCCACCCGGGGTGGGGACGTCCCGGCCCTGCGGGGTCCAGCCTCCCCACCGCTCGTCG